GAATTGGTTTAAATGATGCAAATTTTTATTATTATTTATTGTTTATAAATAATATAATATGCATAATAAATAATCATACTTACTATTCCGATCAAGTATATATTTATTATCTGAAACATCCATTATATGCTTTTGAGAATATTTAAATTTAAAATAATTATCTTGGCCATCTTGTTGAATTGTTCCTTCATCAGGATTAACTGTCCATCCAGCAATAGATTCATCTTGTTTACTAAAAGTTACTAAAAACTTATAATTAGGACTGCACTTTATTTCATCAATGGGACATCCATTATGTGTATTGATTATAGTTTGTTGTCCAATAGCATCAACATTGATATAATTTCCAGCCAGATTTTTAGTATTATTTTCTGATATTTCATCTTTATCTACTTCCTTGACTGTCACTACTTCTATACAGTCATCACTCATTTTTTTATAAAAGAATTAATTGAACAAAATATATTAGAATTTTTTAAGAAATGTAAGGAAGGGTAAAAATATATATTCTACTTTTATAAATAAAATAAAATAAAAATCTAATTAGATACTTATTCACTATTATTATTATAAAAAATTTTTTTTGGTAATAATCAATAATAATAGCTTACTATTGTTACCGGAATTAGAATTTGACGCCGATTTGTTGGTCAAAATCTTTTTTAAAGTGGGAAATTGCATGAATTTCAAAATTTCATGCGCATCATGCATATTTTATGCAGTGCATTTAGAATATAATACAAAAATAGTTATATTGCCTTCTTCTTCACCACCTTCTATTCTAATTGTTCCATCATCATCATTTTTATCATTTTCATCTCCCACATTTTCATCACAATCAATTGTAATATCCATCCATGTTATCATTGTTGGTATTTTTAATTAAAATAAATATACACGATTTAAATCACATTTAGGTGTCAATCTGATTATCATGTATAAAAGAAAAACTGGACTAATTCCTTTTAGATGAAATAGGATCTGAAATTATCAATTCTATCTCATTTAACAAATGAGACAAAAATTTTGATTTAGTCATTTCTTAAAAAATACTATTAATAATATATCAATAATAACTTTGATATGGGACATTGCATTTTTTTTTTTCATGCATCTCTCATTTTATTATTTCGTAACACGTTATTATTTATTTGTTATATAGAAATTAATTTTGTCAGGCAATGGTTAAATCGCCCTCACACAAAGAGGGCAGAATAGTCAGTTATGGACATTATAACCATTGGTAGGTTAGATTACAACGGGTTACTAATTAATTAATTAACATGTATATAAAAAGCATAAAACTAACTTTGTATAAGTTAGAAGTAACTTAATTAGTTTTGTCTAAATAAAATAAATAAAATTCTTGTCATCTTAACACAAAATTATCCATTAATAAAACTAATTAAGGATAGAAATTATCTGTTTTATAATCAATTGATTGATAATAACAAAAATAAATAAATGAATACGAAATTCTTTATGATGATAAATACTTCAATACAAATTTGTCTGTTTACATGAACTAAATTCAATTAATTTGATTCCTTCTAATAATTCCAATTTATTATTATTTAGTTGTATATTATCAATTTGTTTGATACAAATTTAGTTACTCTATTGCCAATAAAGCTTCTATATTTAGAGCTAAAGCTCCGAACGGTTCAGTTCGGTTTCAGTTTAACTCTTTGTTCGGAGCTTTAGGTTAGAAACTATTTGGTAGCCTCTGGTATTCTAGTTTTTATATCCTGCTTATTGTACCCTGCTTATTTAGAATTAATTTATTGACTTCTAATCTAATAAACTTATTATAACAACCAGTATCCCGGTTGGATGAGTTTTTCTGGAGGCACAGACTTAATTACTCGAAGGCGTTGTAGTTTAGAACCTGAAACAATAAGTGTCTGCATGTGTTTAAAGAGTTAGCGGAGACAATGCATTTTTTATATGTGAATTGAAAAGAAATAGAATGTCGCTAGGGTTTCTATTTGAATTATTTGTTTATTCGTTATCGAATTACATTGAAAGTTTAGTCAAATAAGACAAATAAAACAAAATGAATAAAATGAAACGTATAATTCAAATAACGAGTAATTCAAACAAAGCGAGTAAAGCGAATAAGACAAATAAAATGAATAAAACAAATAAAATGAATAATTCGAATTAATATTAAAATTAAGATAGAGTTGTATTACGAATAGAAACTCTTGTCACCGATTAAATTTGGGAGAGCGTATTTTAATTGGTGATAACTAGAGATGTTTCATGCGCATGATTTTTTTTCAAATCATGCAATGTCACATACAGAAAATGCGGAAATTAAATTAAAATTAAACACGCATTTTTACATTTTAATTAATTTTTTTATCATTAAAATTACCCGTAAAACACTTTAAAAATGACAAATTCAGACATTTGGTCTCATTTTACCAGATTGGGTAAAGTTAATGGTTATAAGCAAAATAGAGCAAGTTGCAAATATTGTAACTGTGAGTTAAATGAAGCTCTTGGAAGGTGTAAACAACATTTGAAGAAATGTAATTCCGTATCTGTTTCTATCATGCAATCTATATTTGGACAAACCCATCCAATAACATCATCATCATCACCGTCATTATCATCATTATTATTATCAGCATCATCATCATCATCAACGACTATAACTACAATTTCAACTAATTTGCAAAATCATTCAATAAGTAATTTCGTTGATAGAATTTCTAGAACTGAAGTGATTTTTCTTAAAAAAAAAAATGCACTCATAAAATGCGCATGATGCACATGAAATTTTGAAATTTCATGCAATTTCCCATCCCTAAGTCTAGTGTTTGAATCCGAATCTCAAATGAGACTCATTAAGGGGGCTACACCCTATCAAAGTAGCTTAAAATCATGTGTTCACCACATGATCTTGATAATGTGTAACATCCTTAATGAGTCTCATTTCAGTCAGGGAGATTTCCAAATTTGGAAATCAATTCTAGAAATTTTTGTTGATCAATTCATATACACTACAAATGAGTTTAGAAAACACTCCCCCGTTATGTTATGTCGCGTTTTTTTAT